TTATAAAAAGTGACATTTTGAAAAGACCATTCTTTTTTTATGTATATGCATCTGTGTATTTATTTGAATTCTCAAATATGCATGGACAGAGGGAGACATCTGATTTGGCATTTCTGGTACAAAGATCCACAGAAGAAAAATCTGCCTCTATCCATTTCTACTTTGATGGTTCACCCAGCACATTAGTGTAGATTCCCTGAGCAGCAGTGTATAAAGAGTTAGACAGACAGTCTGGGTTTAAATGGCTTTCCAGGTCATTTAACTAGAATGGGTAACTGACTTTTAATCCTTCTGGGCCTCAGTTTCCTCAACTGTAAAATGGGGGAGGATAGCAGTCTCTATCTCCTAGAGGGTGTTGGAGGATTAAAGAACAACAGAAAAAGAGCCCAACCCAGATACTAATAAAATAAGCATCAGCTTTTTTTTTTTTTTTCTCCTTTTTGTCTCTTTTTTACTGACCGGCAACGGATCGCAACCCTCAGTGTCGTGCCCGTACCGGACCAGGACCGGCAACGGGATCGCAACCCTCGGCGCTGCTCCCACACCTCACTCAGCCAGTGAGCAGCCGGTCTGTATGTGGGATCCGAACCCTTGGCGGGAGCGCCGCCGCACTCCCAAGCAGCGCACTGTAGCAGTGCGCCACCGGGCCAGCCCCTAAGCATCAGCTTTTAAGCTGATGCAGATTTTAAGCAGACACACAGGTGATATATCCATCTAGTGGAACTCAACTCAGCAATAAGAAAGGACAACCGTTTGAAATACACACGAATCTCCAAAACATAATGTTGTTTCCGGCTTCTTTTGCTAAAGAGTACATACTATGATTGCTTCTATGTGAAGTTCTAGGACAGACAAAACGAAACTATAATGATAGAAATCAGATTAGTGGTTGCCTCCGGTGCATGTGAGGGTATGATTCTACTGAAAAGGGTCCCAAGGGAACTTTCTGGGAGGTTATAAATATTCTACAAGGGTACTTCAAAAAGTTAATGAAGAGATGCGCGTTATCTCTCAATTCTATTTTTCCACCAACTTTTCGAAGTACCCTCCTATATGCTAAGGGAAGATGGTGACATGAATGCAGACACTTATGAAACTCACTGAACTGGTCACTTAATATCTGTCCATTATAGTATATCAATGCCACCTCATTAAAAAAAAAAAAACTCTGGGTCTTCTAAGTTCAAGTCCAATGCACCTGCTAGAGGTTAGGAAAGTGGTCAGGTGACGTTAGAAGAGGTATGTATGGAGGGACAGAATGAGGATAGAAGTGGTAAAGCTGGAAAAAATTATATATATAAAGAGGATTTAGAAGGATCAACAGAACTTGGTCCAAGGTGGCCGCAGTTGGGAGCTCAGGCAACAAGGAGAATGGGTAGAAAATAAGGAGGGAAGTGAGAAGCGAAGGAGTTGAGCTTTGGAACTTGCAGTGGCCACAGAGACTGGTAATCCTGTTATCCAAACCCTGATCTGTGCAGAAAGTCTCCCTCGGAGGTGCCTGGACGGAATCTTCCACACCCCACTGACTCACAGCTGAATTGCAATTGTGCTGGAAGGAGGAAGTGAGTCACTTATCGCTTGCTGACACACTGGGTGGGCAAAAAGCAATTGGGATTCCAGGACTCTCACTATAAATAAAACGGGAAGTTCAGGCAAGGGGCACTGGCAATAAAGATATTGGAGGAGGAGCTTCAGTCACCCCACCAAGTGACCTCAGCTTTGGTGAGCACTGATCCATTGCATAAAGGGCCATCTTACAAATAAAATGTGCCACCACAAAGACTGGAAATAATAATAATACCTGAAGCCCTTTAAAGAGATAAAGGACAACAAATTCACATCACCCTCTCTGGACATCAAGCCTTCTCCTGGCTGTAATTCTCTAACCATTTGCTAGCCACAGGTATCTCAAGACCACTCCAACAGGAAGACCCCACCTCTACTATTTCTGTCCCAACAGATGACACGACAGCTGGCCAGCCCTCTAGACAATGTGTAAAAAGTAGAATTTACTGCTACAATAGCAGCCTGCAAAATAAGCCCCCAGTGGCCTGGATGGTGCAGGCAGGGCTCAGGAACAGAAGGAGTACCAAGTGCCGGTGCGTCAGTGGGTGTCCCCACAGCATGGCCCTTTCTGAGCAAGGGGACAGAACTGTTTCAAACACCACAGCCCAAGAAACAGCACATCTTCTTTGTGCTTTTCTTAAGCAATGTTTGGGTTTTCCACACTAGTTTATTTGAATTTCAGCAAAAGCAAACCAGAGCACCAGGTTCCCATATCTCCTCATGCTGCGGATGCCCAAAATGACACAAACACTGTGCCCCTCTATTTTTCTTTTTTTTTGGGTGGCTGGCCGGTATGGGGATCTGAATCCTTGACCTTGGTATTATAACACTGTGCTCTAACCAGCTGAGCTCACCAGCCAGCCCTGCACTGCACCCCTCTCAAAAAAAATCTCTGAAAAAACCCCCTCCAATCTCTCATGTCACGGGTGACAAGTCAGGAACTAGGTAATTGAAACAGAAAAGGAGAATACACATTTCTGCTTTTTGCCCAGCACACAAATGAGGTGGTAAATGCTTTCAATGTTTTCTTTCCCATGCTACTGAAGATCATATTGGACAGGGAAATCAAAACTGTAGCTAGAATCATTTCCCTGAAAATAGAAAATCCCCTGGCTGAAGTGAACAGACTCAGCCGGAAATGAATGAGAAATCAATGGATCAGTGCCATACCCAAAACGGGGGCTTATTTTTCCCCAGGCATTATCTTGATGGTAAATTTTGTTGTTAGCTCCTTTCGGGAGGGGCAGCCTGTCTCTGTCACTATTCACTACTGGTGACTTCCAGAGTCTATTAGCAACAAGTCGCCATTCGTTTGACAGCTAGGCAGAGCATGGATTCTATTAATGTACTTAACCAGAATGAAAAGGGGACATGGAAAGGCCCATCAAAGCACCCAGCAACAGAAGCATCTAGAATTGGATCTTATCCGGGGAGGAACCCTACAGATAAGATCAGGAAACGCCTAGAAAGACAGACCATGGAACAAAATTCCCCTAAAGCTTTTGAGTCTCGAGAAAGCACACCCTATCTTTTATCAGTGGTCTCCTGGAAGAAAAGTTTGTAAAATCCCCCTGGGACTTGCTGCTAAAGCCAACACAGCTCTCAACAAGACGGCTCTACTTTCTCTGAAGTTGACTGAGTCCCTGACCTCTTTAACACACCAAACACGACTATTAGCTGATTTTGATCTGGCTAAGTGCAGGCGCACAGTGTAGATTCCATTCCTAAAGGAAACAGATTAAGGGGCCGGCCCGGTGGCACACTGCTACAGTGCGTCTCCTGGAAGAAAAGTTTGTAAAATCCCCCTGGGACTTGCTGCTAAAGCCAACACAGCTCTCAACAAGACGGCTCTACTTTCTCTGAAGTTGACTGAGTCCCTGACCTCTTTAACACACCAAACACGACTATTAGCTGATTTTGATCTGGCTAAGTGCAGGCGCACAGTGTAGATTCCATTCCTAAAGGAAACAGATTAAGAAATTCTCCTCTCGAAATGCCTTCAAGCAAGCCAGTGCAGCCAGGGCGACTATAAACACACATCATCCAGCTCTGGGAAGTCTGGGAAAAACATCAGGGCTCAGAGCCTCCACACATCAGATCCTCAGCCATCCAGGGAGAGAGGACACTAAAGTGAGCTACATGGCCTTGCTCAGGATCTCACTAGCAACATTTTCTTGCTGCACCCTCCTAGTGGAAAACTGATGTGTCAGTGTCAGTGATGTCCCAGCGATTCAAAGCTCTCCCTCCACTCAGAGTCAACGCCCTGCCAATAAAAAAAAGAAAGAAAGAAAAGAAAAAAGCTTCTTGCAATCCTGTTCATCAGGCAATCCCATTCCTTATATAGGCTGAGCTGGTTCTAAGTAGGAAAAGGGCCATTTAACTACTGTCCCCAGGGCGGAGCTGACTGCCTCTCCGCAGTTAATTTAAAGCCACTTAAGAAACCAGTAACTCAAGATCAAGCACCAACTAGCCTCCTGTCTAAGTCTAAATTCGGATCTACCCTCCCCCCCAAAAACCAAAAGTCGCCATGTGGGCAACTCAACCGAATCCACTTTGGGCCTCCGAACAAAGGCCACCCTGAGGGTCGGTCCCGGTGTCGCCCTCCGAGACCCTGCCTCGCCCCGGCTGCAGGTCTCGGCTACGGACCAAGGCGGGGCAGGAGAGTTTCCAAGGCAACGACTCAGCTCCGAAAGGAACCGAGGCGTAGAGGGTGGCCTGCGGCACGTCTGTGAACTAAACCAGGGCGGGCAGAGCTAGGGCGGCCCCGAAGACGAGGTGGGGATGACGGAGGTCCCGCCGAGGGCGCCCGGGCGAGAGTGACCAGAAGCGGCTCGGGGGCCCGTGACTTTTCCTCTGTCACAGGAGCCCGGGACTGAAGCGAAACCTCCCGTGCTGCCGCCTCACCCAGAAACGGCGCGAGGCGACTTCCGCCCTAGCCCCGCCCCTCTCGGCCCGCGCCTCTGCTTCTGCCACCTCCCATTGGGTGAGGGGAGTGGCTCGAGCCTCGCGTGTTCGGACTGCGCCCAATGGGAGCTGGGGGGCGGGGCGGAGGGGGCGGGGCGCTGTAGCCCTCGGCGTGGCGCGTGTGGACCAGCCGGGTCTCCAGTCGCCTTCGCCCCTAGGAAACTGATTGGCGGGGAGGGGGGCCCCTCATTTTAGGACCGGAGGTCCCCGTACCCCACTCTGAGAAAGACGTGGAGGCCCCGAGGCGGGGAGCCGCGCCCCGTTTCCCCTGATCCCCCCAGACTCCCCCAAACCCTTGCGCCCGCCTCAGCACCCCCTCCAACCGTACGGGAAGGACCTCGTGCCATTCTCCCACAAGTTTCCCCGGACCGAGTGATTATTTTTTCGCTCTCCTCCCCCAAATAACCAAGGGGCTCCCGGAGTTCGGGGGCTCTCTCTCACCCCGCGCAGGCTCCTGGAGCAAGCCTTACCTGCAGCTCCTGCTGCGATGAGGAGCAGGGCGGTGGCCCAGCGCAGCCCCCGTTCCGCGGGTCGCATGATCGCAGCCTCTGCCCGCAACGTCCTGCCCCGGACCACAGCACTCTGTGTCCCCGCAGAACACCCGGCCTTCGCGTGGCCAGGCGGCGACTGCACTAAAGGCCAGAGTCATTTGCAGCATTTCAATGTGAGGTTTCTACCAGGGGGAGGAGTTTGCAGTGGGGTGATTTTCAAATGTCTTCACCTCACAGGGAGAGGAGGAGTTTCGAACGGCTGATGTGACATCGCCTTTTTTAACCCGTGAAACCCTGATTCGGATTCCAGTCCCAAAGCAGATCCAGGGCAGGCAACTTGGGTTGTTGTATTTCAGTCGCCGGTGAAGAGCTGACCCCCCAAAACTGGAAAGGCGTCTCCTGGAAGAACCCCCTGGAATTTCTTAACGTTTAAGTGCTACGTTTGTCATTCATGCCTAAAGAAGTAACAACCGTCCTTTCAAATCCTCTAATAGCCTAATGATCTCTCTGCCTCAAAAGGAAAAACTAGAAATATTGGAAAAAAAAAACCCTTCTATATTTACTTTTCCCTTTCTAGGAATTGCATGTAGATTTTTTCAGCTTAGTTTAGCTGTACATTGTTTTTAGGTGATTATTCTAAATTGCCTTATAAACAGTAATCAATGAGGAATTTAAATAAAATCTTCATGAAATACAGCCAAAGAAAGTATTTTGTTTTGTGGGATCCAGCACTTGGAAGAATTACGAGGAAAAACATGTCAAAAATCAATTGACCCCAATACCTGGAGTCTGGACATAAATATTGGTTTATCCTTTTAGGAAAAGGATTTGCTTTACTAACAGAAGGGTGGTTTCTTCTCCCTCGAGCAAAATCAAAACAAACCTGCTTCTGCAGCTCAGCCTGGCTGCCTAAACGGAGGAGTGATGGAGAGAAACTTCTAAGAATCAAGGAGTCTCTCTCTCTCTTTTTTTTTTTTTCCTTTTTGTCCTTTTTCGTGACTGGTAACGGGATCGCAACCCTCGGTGTCGCGCCTGCACCGCGCTCAACCAGTGAGCGGACCGGAGTCTCTTTTGGGTTTTGGGGGGTTGGCTACTTACCTGAACACAAAGGGTCTGGCAATCTGGGAGGGTTCCCCAGGAAAGAGCTGGAGTTCTCTGGGGTATTGCAAACTGACTCTATCGGGGAGTGCTAACCTCTCAGCAGCATTATTGAGAAACCCATGAAAGGAGATAGAGACAGGATAATTGAGCCCTCAGAAAATTGGGGCTGGCTGGTTAGCTCAATTGGTTAGAGCTCAGCCTTGTAACGGCAGGGTCTAGGGTTTGGATCCCCATAACAAAAAAAAGAAAAATTGTATGTAGAAATAAAAATGGCGATTAATCCAGAGGAGGAAATTCATAAGCAGAGTGTTTGGCAGTGAAGAGCCCAGCTTTGGAGTTGGACCTCAGGCAAGTAAATTAGCTTTCCCAACCTGTAAAGGGGAGATAATGATACTTCCTCTATTGTCAGATTCAGTTTCAGGGTCAGGGCTGGCCGGTTAGCTCAGCTGGTTAGAGCATGCGGTGTTATAACACCAAGGTCAAGGCTTCAGATCTCCTTACCAGCCAAATGTCAGGGTCAAATGAGATAATTATCCATCACCCGGGAAAGTTTACAAGGATAGGCAAGTACTAGGAGTTGTCCCCATTAAATTCCATTTCTTATCCTATTTGCTACATTAAAAAGAAGTCAGTTCGGGCCGGCCCAGTGGCTCACTCGGGAGAGTGCGGTGCTGATAACACCAAGGCCCCGGGTTCGGATCCCATATAGGGATGGCCGGTT